TGTTTAACCCGTATTAAAGAAAGTAAAAAGCGAAAATATGAAGAAAATTTTACTTCTTTACCTGATTCTAAAGAAAATATTATTGATGTCAATAATATTACTGATGTAATTTATAAGGCTCTTGCAAATGTAGAAGATATCAATGAAAACTTAGAAAGTAGTTGTGAATTCTATTTTGAGCAAGCGATCAATCTGGATATGTTAATTAATGAGATTCTAGCAGATACTGAAGAAAATAAATATGAATATTATCTTGCAAGTAAGATTGTTAATTATATTGAGAAAGAAGACGGTTATGATTATATATATCATATGCAAATATTAAACTTAGCCACAAACAGCTTCATCAACATCTAAAGTACACTATGATTTTAGAACAGGTTAAACAATATGTACGTGAGAATTTAGTGCTTAGAGCATCAGAATTACACCGTGAAATTATATCAAAAAAACTTGATGGATTTGAAACTTTAACAATTGATCAAGTTTATTTCTGGTGGGCACGTGAAGCATCAAAATATTATCGATGACACGAAAATCAATACCAATCAGCAAAATTACTCTTGCATGAAAAAGGATTTAAAGTCATACTTGACTTAAATCAACCAACACATGTATTTGGTTTCTTAACGAGTTTTTTTAATAAACTACCACATATAGCATTTGAAACAATTATAGTGGATGCTACTTACAACACTAATCAGTTAAAATATGAGCTTTATGCGGTAATGACAATATAGATGGAACTGGATTCCCGATTTCATATTGTTTTATTGAATCTGGTAAAGGACGTGATATTTGTGCAGCTATAACATCATGGTTTAAATTTTTATATGAAAACGGACTTAAAGAAGTGAAAACAATTCTTTCTGACAAAGATTTTGCTCAGATCAGTAGCGGAATGGCTATTTGGAAAAATGTAGAAATTCAACTCTGCAAGTGGCACTTAAGGCATGCGATTGAGCAAAAACTATCTTCAAAGTTTAGTAATATTTCATCTAACTATAATGCCATCACCGCACATCAACAATGCTCTATAATTAATCCAACCTGGCAACCAACCCAAAGTACCAATTTAGGCTCTAAAAAGGTTTTTTTAGAAGCATCTTTACGAAAAGAAATATTAGAGTACATTGATACACATTTTCATCATCATATGCTCATTCCCACTGCAGATAAAGAGTTTGTATCAACCTCGAATGAAATCTGGTATCGAGCAGTCAATGAAATTTTTTAATATTGTTATCACCATAACTTGTTTCACGTATGGTGTTACTTATGGCAAGAATGGTACAGGTGGGATCGTTGGTGCCTTTGGGTATTATCAGCTCACAAAAATAGTTCAATTGTCTGCACTACGATGATTATTGAGTCACATTGGAGAATCCTGAAACATGATTTTTTATACAAGCTTAACTGTCCTCGGCTCGATGTTCTCTGTTAAGTTATTACTAATCGAATGCTACCAAAACTAATGCACCGTTATAACCTTCTCGTTACTGAAAGAATTCAACCATCTTGGCGAAAAGATTTCGCAAATGAGTGGAAAAAGTTTGCAAACCGAGAAATAAAAAATTCTAACAAATATTTCACTAATCATGCTAATTGGGTTTGCTCATGCCCTATATTTCTTAAACATCAGTTTGCACTTTGCAAACATTTAGTTTCGCCACTAGGAAATATGGATAACACTTTTTTAAAAAAGGCTCAATGCAATAATAAATATCCATTTCTCTATAAAGCCCAACAAACAATTTGGCAAACTATCAAGAATGATTTATCCAACGTATTGGCTAATCCCGAAATAGAACATTGTGATTATGAGAAAGCCGAGATGAATTTAATAGATTTAAGTATAGGCAAATATGATTCAAATGCCAGTGATGTTATGTTGAAGTTACAAATAATAAGGCGATTGAGTTAAATGAAATATTAGCAAAGGTGCTATTTATTTATTTTGTTATTTTATAAGTTATTTAAATTATTATTTTTTTTACATATTCTTAATAATATTAATTCATAGGCGATAAAATACATTGAAAAATCGGAAACTCTTCCTCAACAGAGAAAATGGTTAAATGCGATTGAAAAAAACTTGGGTTCTATTAAAAAAATGGTAAATGACTTAGAAGGATTTGAAGCTGCAAAAACTTCGAGAAAAACATGGAATGGACATAATTCAAA